TCCAAAGAGTGTGTGTCAAGTCCCACACACGAGATTACGGGACTGGTCCACTAGAGCCCCAGCAGAGGGCAGAAAATAGCATGAGAACTGAAGGAGTTACGTGCAAGTTTCCAGAAAATGAAAGCAACGCACACCAAGAGGACTATACTGAAAAACTTTTGGTTCTCTCGCTCTCTGTGGGCATATAAAGTGAAAAAATAAAACCCCAAATAAAAAGGCTCTGCAGGCATGGAAACTCGAAGAGAATATGGGCTCTCCTGCTCAACAACAACAACAAAAAAACACAGTAAAAGGGAAAACAACAAACAAACCAATTCCAGGAAAAATTTTAAAACAAATTATATATATATATATATATCCCCAATACCTATTGTTAAGTGCCGTCGAGTCGGTTTCCACTCATAGCAACCCTCTATAGGATTTCCGAGGAGCAGCTGGTGGGTTTGAACTGCTGACTTTGTGGACTGCAGTCCAGTGCTGATTCTACAGCGCCACACCAGGAGTCCAAATACCTAATACCCCCTCAAAAATTTTTAAATTTTCAAATAAGGTTCCCTGGATCGGCCATTTTAGTCTCCTAACCGTGGCTTTAAGGAGAGGACTCAGATATTGAGTCTGAGGATGAGAGGACTCAGATATCCTCAGATCACGTGGATGGACCCAGTCCACTTACAATTCGATGATTATTCCAATACTCTTATCTCAATTCTCTGTTTGCCCCAACGCCAGGCAGTGCAGGCGCGCGAGTTCAGGGCTGCAGAGACCTGGGAGCAAGACTGGCGAGGCCCAGGCCGTTTCCCTACGTCCAACAGCTGTTGGAAACCCAACTAGAAAGGGACCCGGGCGCCGGGACCAGGTGCTTGGGAGAGGGGGAGAGCTGTCCTTGCAAGTCGCTTGCCGCCCGAGCCCCCAAGCCCTGGCCCCTTTGACCCGCAAGGTCCGACGCATATGTGGGACCCCGGGCCTGCCCCGGTGCTCACTACTGTGCAGTGCGTTTGTGTACCGAGAGATTGTTGGAGCCCAAGTCCAGGGCTGCCTGCGGAGCCCGGAGGAGCGGGGGCCCTACTGGCTCTCTCACACACACACCGTGGGAGTTGCCCAGCCAGAAGCTTTGTACGTGGCAGCCACTCGCGCATCTGTCAAGTTCCCAGTGATTACGTTTCCGCTGACAGGGAAGAGTCGTTCTGCTCTGCGCGCCCGGGGTCATCCAGCCCTCCCGATCCCAGACCGAGAGGGGGGCGGGGGCGCACGCAGGGCAGCCACTGGGTCCTGTCCTGCCAGACCGAGGCAGCGTACAAGGAAAGGGGCAGCTGAGGCGATCCGAATGGGATTGTGAGATCCGTATGTGAGGTGCTCAAACTCTGGGGCCTCTTCTGAGAGCAGGGACAAGTTTCCTGCTCTGCCCATATACGTTACTGGGTTGGACGACGCTGGCGCGTTTCCCTGCTGGATCTTAACAGGTTGTTAAATTCACGTCCAGATTAATTTGGGAATCATATGCGCGCGTCTGAACGGAAGGATGAGAGCGTGCGTTGCGGAGTTGCAGGGAGTTTGCGGCCAAACTTATCCCACTTCGCCTGATGGGACCATCGCTCCTCGAGAAAGGCCAGTAGGTCGGCTAGGCCACTGACTAGCCTAGCTTGCTTGCACTAGGCGAGGCGCCTGAACTGAGCGAAGAACTAGGCCTGGAAGGTGGCCTGCTGCTTTGGGCTACCAGCGGTGAGCGTGCTCTTTCAGAATGTGAAATAGAAGGATCCCTCTCATCTCCAGTGAACGCGGAGATGTGCGTAGATCTATCCGGGGTAGGGTGGAGGCTTTGTTATGTCGGTGGTGAGTGGGCGGTGAGGGGCAGTTTGTTCCGCGCGCCTGTCGTGCTCACAAGCATTTCCTCACCATGTCTGTGTTTGAGGCTGTGTATGACGTAAAGCAGCCTCCATTTTGAAGCGGGAGATACAGCAAGGCAGGCCCTTGGAGAAAGCGGGAATCTTAAATCTTTGTTGGAGCAAGAATCCCTCCAAAAGGCTTGGGGAGAATTGAAGGGCGCGTTCTACGGGGAGTGCTGGTTTCCTTCACCGTTGGCTGGCTGGCTCTTGAACCCTAGGTTGCTCACTTCCCAACACAGTCCAGCAATAGACCAAGGGCCAGGAAGGAGGATCTGTAGTAGATAAGGGGCAAACCGCTAGGGAGTGAGCCCCACTGCCCCATCAGTCAGAAGTGGTTTGTAGGCCACCTCGGAGCTTCCTCCAGACCCCACCTTCACTCAACGAATATTTATGGAGCGAGATTTGATAGATATATTTGGCTGTACAGATACCACCTCTGGTCCTTGGCACAGCCCTTCAAGGTGGGGGCTAAGATTCCCTATGTATCGAGGAAGCAAGAGAGATGAGACACAGAGAGACCAAAAACAAAAACAAACCTGTTTCTATGAGATAACGCTGGAATTCACACCCAAAAGTCACATCACGGCAATGCCCAAGCTCCCCTCCTGCTTTCCTGCCCTGTCGGTTTTGCTGAGTACCGTGGAGTCTGTTCCGACCCATAGCGAACGTGTATAGGGTTTCCAAGGAGCTTGAACCGCCGACCTTGCCTTTCAAACTGGCTTTGCAGTTCAGCGCAAGATTTCTTCAATAAATTTGCTATCTTGGGTGGGGCCCAGCGGAGTGAGTGCCCAGGGTGAAAGCTGGAGGTCCACAGGAAGTAAGGCTGTTTTGGGGTCCTCACCCCACCAGTTTCCAGACAGCTATCTTGACAAACATCTGTCATCTACCCTTTAACGACTTTCTTCAAAGAAAAATGTATCCCCTGCTCAAAGATCAAGGGCCTACTGGAGGGATATCTGTGCTGGGGAATCGAGATGTGACTGCTCTTCACCAGTGCCAGGCCTATTTCTTTTAGTACTGAGCCTCCGACCTGAGCGAAGGTGAGGCTGAGTGATCCTGGCTAGGAGGAATTCAGTGGCAAATGATGTTCCTGGTATCTTTAGCATGCATTAATCTGCCCATCATTAAATGGGGGAAGGGCAGAGGAATTTATGAAGGTCCATTTGCTTTACTTTTCTGTTAGGTGTGCTTTATATTTAATATTTTCATTATAGTGTATAAATTAAACGGCAGTATTGTTTACATGCATTTATAAAAGAACACCACCTGGCAATCTTCCCAGGCTGATAGTCCTAGGGCACATCCATTTTGGCTCTCCTGTGGCTGGGTGCCAGGGTCACTTTGTACTCGCCCCTTATATGAGACTACACCTGAGCTATCTAATTGGCATCTATACACAAAATTTATTTGTTCTACTGACAGGGTTAGAAAATGTCAGAGGGTGGTATTTGGGTACGGAATTCACAATAGTCTGAGCAAAGGAAATGCCACCTCTACAAGGGGTGTGAAGTGGTGAGGGTTCCAGACAGAGACCTCAGGAGAGTGTGGGCCTGGGGACCTGATTTCTCCATCTCTGCAGATTTCTTTAATGGAACTCAGATGCTCACACTTTGTTTACAGGACTCAGTCTATGGAATGGAGTCTAGTTTAATCCAAATGACTGGTAGGTCCAAAACACTGCTGGATGGAGAGCAATAACCCCATACTCTTTCCTGCAACTGTCTTGATCCAAAGCTGTCCCCTCCTCCCCATCTCGTGGTGGCCACATCTGGCACCAGGAGTTTTCCTCATGGGCCCAGGTCCTTGCGTGGTGTCTACAACAGTAATCATTTGCCGCCATACTTTATTCAGCTCTGTTCCCTGTCCTCTAGCCACCCCCACCCAGAGGCTGCAGGGATGGGTAGGGGAGGTCACACCAAGCAGGGATGCTCCAGTGGGCATCTGAGTAATGGAACTCAGATCAGACAAATCCTCGAAACCTGTGCGGAAGAAACCCTCTCCCCACTTCCCCAATTTTTCTCACCGAATTGAGTAAGTTTCCCAGTTCTCCCCAGGCAGAGGTTAAGGAAAACCTCTGCTTGGTGATGTCCTGAGACCACGCGGCTCCAAGGACTGGAGCTCAGGAAGGAGAATAGGCAGGAAGAAGACGGCTAGAAAGCCGGGAAGGGAGCCATAGAGGGAGAACTGGCGAGCCGTTCCCCAGAGTGGCCACTTCAGGGCACTGGGTCTTTTGATTCCGGAACTACGGAAGGTGGGGGGAATCGTCTTCAGACTCCGGCTACGGCCTGGAGATGGGCTCGAGACAAGATCTGGGTATCCGCTTTCTCTTTCTATCTGGTCGGCGAGATCCAGAGAAAGCCAAACCGAGCTCCACGCAGCTGGCGTTTGGGCCCGGGAACCTACCAGTCAGAGCTGGGTACTCTGACGCAGTCCGATCTAGGGGCTAGCGAAAAGGGAGTGCTGGGAAAGGGAATTCGTCGGATGGGAAAGACGATGACCAAAAAGAGAAGGGCGAGGAAGGAAAGGAAGGACGCCGATAGGCCGGGCCCGGAGAGAAGGCCGCGCCGGGAGGTTCTGCGAAGAAGTGGAGCTGAGAATGAAGTCCAGGGGTCGCGCGCCTCGCCCAGCGCCCTCCTTGTTCACCTCCCTACTGGAAATCTCCCCCTCTAGGAACCAATGTCATTTCCTGCCGTTGGGGAAAGGGTACTGGGTCCCGCAGGAGGGGAGGAGGCGCTCCACAGCGGTACAGAGCCGAGGCCTTTTCCTGCGGCGGTGCCTTTACACGCTGAACACGCGGGAAGTGTTCCGTGTCTTCTCCGCGTCTGCTCTGAGCCGCCGGGAGCCGACACCCGTCTTCAGCATCCCGTGCCCGTCTCTCTACATTTGCTGCGGGTCTAGGGCTAGGGGTTGGGTTAGAAGGCTGAGAACTGTAAGGAGAGGTAACGGAAACCTCTTCGGTTCCATTCACCACTTTGTCCCCTTAACTCAGTTCAGTGTCCAACACACAATAGGCGCTCGAAGGAATATTTGTTGAATGAACGAAGAACGAAAGAGTATACGAATGAGGAGATTGAGGCAGCAGGAAGGTCAGAGATCGGGCCGCAGGTTGTCCCTTACCTCGTATCAGGATGCGGCGGCAGTGGTCCGTCTCTCCGGGCCCAGGCTGCCGGTCGTTGTCCCTGGAGCCTGCCGGGCTGGAGGCCGAGGTACCCGCGATATCTCCTGGACTGCGGTCGCCATCACGAGCGTGCGTGTCTTTCGACCCACCGCGGTTTCCACCGCTCCCGCCGCCGTCTCCGGATTCTTCCTGGCAAGCGGGACCGCGCTGACGCTCGGCGCCCCCATCGCCCATGCCGGCCACTACCGCCTCCTTAGCCACAGCGGAGCCTGCCCCGGCTGTGGGAGCACGCGGCCCCCCGCCCTTGCGGTCCCTGTTGGGCTCCTCCTCCTCCAGGCCAGCCCCGCCGCACCGCTCCTCCTTTCCCTGCTCAGAGCGCAGGAGTCGCAGGTCTCCGACTCCTTGTGGCGCACTTGGGCGCTGCTCCTGGGTGGGCAAGAGACTGGCTTCACTCCTCCGCCTCCAGTCTAGCCCTGCTCCTAGCCTGGCAGAGTGTGTGAGTTTGGCGGACCTGGGCTACCTCCCGCATCCTTTCCAAAAGTTTAAATTTGATCAGCCCCTTCCTTTCCTCTGCAGTCCTTCCTTCTCCACTCAGCCCAGGCAGCCGACTCCCTCCTTATTCCATCAATTCCTAACGAAACACAGCTTGCGATTCCCTATAGGTCAGAGGAATCAATAACCAAAAACCGAACTATCTGTATGGGATCCACTTGAAAACAGCAGCTTTAAAGATTAGATGGAGTCCTGGTGTGGCGCTGTGGGTTACTGCGCTGTACCGCCAAGTTGTTTTGAATCTCAAGCTCGTCTGTTCAACCTCACCAGCAGCTCCTTGGAAACCCTATACAGAGTCGCCATGGGTTGGAATTCACTCGACAGCACTTAGAACAAGGATTAGATAGGAAATTTAGAGGGCAGTGGGTTTATGTTAAAGAGGGAGGAGCAACTCAGAAAAGGAATGTTGGGCAACTCAAAGAATGTAACCATCGTCACTAAGTTGTACATGTAGAAATTGTTGACTTGGTTTATTTTTTGCTGTGCATATTTTCAACGGTAATAAATTTTGTTGTTGTTTAGTGCCGTCGAGTCGTTTCTGACTCATAGGGTTTCTGAGGAGCGGCTTGTGGATTTGAACTGGCGACCTTGCCTTTCAAACCAACCTTGCGGTTCAGTGCTTATCCTACAGCCCCACACCAGGAATTTTAGAAAAAAAAAAAAAAAAATCAAAACCTGAGAGGAAGGGCGACGCCAACGAAGCAGAGTGGAGAACAGAAGGTTGCCTTTGCTGAGGTGCATGGTGGGGTTGGGGGTCTGGAAGCGCGATGCAGCACACGCAGCTCTGCAGTTCAATACACGCAGTGAATACACGCAGGGCCACCCTCACAAACACAGAGCTCAGGCATGTCTGGGCACTCCCAGGACATACTTGGCCTATAAAGATGTAGCAGGGACACTGAGTGCCTCAACTGTACTTGCCCTGGGAAAGAAAACAGATAACTCAGTTACAAAGCCTTGTTGCTGTTGTTAGGTGCCATCAAGTCAGTATTGACCAGAACAACGAAACACTGCCCGATACTGGACAAACCTCACTACTGTTGCCATGCTTGAATCCATCCATGTTGCCACTTGGCCAATCCATCTCATTTGGGGTCTTCATCTTTTTCTCTGACCCTCCACCTTACCAAACACGATATCTTTCTCCAGCAACTGGTCCCTCCTGACAATATGTCTGAAGTGTGAGAGACGAAGTTTGGCCATCTTGGCCTCCAAGGAGCACTCTGGCTGCACTTCTTCCAAAGCGGATCTATTGGTTCTTTTGGCAGGCCATGGCACTTTCAATATTCTCCTCCAACACCATGACTCAAAAGCATCAATTCTTCTACTGTCTTCCTTATTAACTGTCCAGCTTTCCCATCCATACAAAGTTATTGTGTCAGGCGCGCCTTAGTCCTTAAAGCTGACATCTTTGTTCTTCAACACTTTCAAAAGGTCTTGTGCAGCAGATTTGCCTAATGCAATATGTCATTTGATTTCTTGACTGCTGCTTCCTTGAGTGTTGATAGTTGATCCATGAAGAATGAAGTCCTTGACAACGTCAATCTTTTCTCCTTTGATAAAAATGTTGTTTATTGGTCCAGTGGTGAGGATTTTTGTTTTCTTTAAAGTAAATGCTTTAAGTCTAGAGGGTCAAAAAGTAAGATTGAGATAGATAGCAAATGCCCTGCTCTGCAGGACTCTGGGAGTCCTGGTGTGGCACTGTAGGATAAGCACTGGACTACTTACCACAGATTAGTGGTTCAAACCCACCAGCCTCTCCTTGGAAACTACAGGGTCTCTGTGAGTCTGAACTGACTTGAAGGCACTTAACCAAGGAAGTCTGAGGTCTTCACATGTGGAGCAGCATCCTAGAGGAATATAGATAGGGTGGCATTTCCTTGTGTTCTCATCTGCTGAGTTCCCCACTCCCCTGTTCCTCTTCTGGCCCTGTGTAGGCTAGGGCAACACAGAGAGTACTGGGGGAGAGGAATGGAGAAGGACCTAGCCGCCTGAGAAGCTGAGCAGTGGGGGTCCCAAGCCATTGCACTTTGATAGCAACTCAACCCCTAATCCTTTCTAGAGAGAGCAGGACTTCTTTCTCTGCTATGCCAGAAAGAGCCAGGTCCAGATTTTCCTTCCTTTGCCTCAGAAAGGGGCTTAAAAGAAAAGTTGGGAACTTGTCTCACCCCCATCCGCTAATTGTCTGTAAATTTGTCTTCTCTCTTTGGTTAGTGTGCTAGTGCGAGCAATGGTGTTTTGGTCTGTCTGAGGATCTGTTCATGGTTGTGCAAGGAATATGTCACTGATGTAGGTTCTATGGCTCTTGTGCAAATGTATGCATGGGTAAATTAGTGTGGGCATATGTCAGTGCCTAGTATGTCTAGTGTGCATAGGAGCAGTTGGGTGTTTGTATATGGTGAATCTCAGATGTTCCCAGCCTACTGTGTAATTAGTTAATTGGTTAACTAATGGTACCACTGTGCCTGCTTGGAGTCCAGTAAAAAGAGTGAGTGAAGGGGTGGAAGCTGCTGGCAGAGCTAATGAAAAACAGAATGGAAAAAGAGGATGGAAACCCAGGCCACAAGGTGATGTGAGTGAGGGCAGGAGGGTCGTGATTGCATCAGGGATGTGGGGCAGGGATGGGCCTAAGAACAGCTGATGGACAAGCTTTGGGTACTGTTGTTGTTGTTGTTGTGTTGTTGTTGTTAAGTGCCGTCTAGTTGGTTCTGACTCATAGCAACCCTGTATAGGGTTTCCGAGGAGTGTCTGATGAGCTTGAACTGCTGACCTTGGGTGCTGGGAGTATGTTATTTGTGAGAAATGAGGTTTATACAATCATTGGAAGGGCCAGAGGTACTTGTGACCCGCCAGGAGCAGGCTTGGGACCCAAGCTGAGTGGGAGTGGGGAGCATTCCAATCCTGGTCCCTAGAGGGTCAGCCAAACTCTTCAGCAGATGGTGAGCTCCCAACTCAGCAGGAGGGAGTCCATCACTTACACATCTCACTCCAGTTTTTCTCCCATCTGATTTTCTCAAGATTATTTTTATTATTCAAGTAAGAGTATTTTCTATTCTCCATTTTTAAAGATTCTAATTAGAAAGCAGACGCTCAGTTGGCCCTGCTCTCAATCCCTCCCTGATCCTCAGCCATCCACTTGCCACCTGAGGCACTGGTTTCTGTTCAAACAAAAACGGGTAGCACCTGCTGGACCCCGCCGAGCTTTGTTTTCACTGTTTTAATTTTTCATTCTACGAATGACATCTTTCTGTGCCAGTAACTCAGTTGTCCAGGACCGAGTCCTCTTCTGTGGTCCGAGGAAGGGCTTCCGGAGCGTGTTCAAACGCTTGAGGGAGCCGGAGAGAGCGGCGGAGGGCCGCCAGCAAAGCCCAGCAGAGTGTCAACCTGGACAGTGGGGCAACTCCCCGTCCATGTCTACGGAGCGAGGCGGTCCGCTAAAGGAGTTAGGCCACAGGAAGCAGCAGTGGTCCCAGGCAAGGCCCATGTTGACTCTTGGAAATTCCCAGCCCTCTCCCTCACCCTTTCTCGACCTATCTCAAGGTGTCTCATTGCGTATTCGAATTGACCTCCCACAGGAGCCCGCCCCTTTCTTCCCAGAAGGCCTGGGCACGGGGATCCAGTGAGGAAGGCAGGGCTTTTGCATACCAACGCGGCCAGTATATGTATCCAGGCGGATTCTCTTACCCGGTCAGATCCTGGCCAGGTCAAGTTGGGAGCCTGGGGAGACCAATGAAACCTCGGACTCTCTAACCCTAGGTTGCTGATTTGAGCCCAGAGAGGCCAGGAGACGGGTTGTGCAGGGCCACAGGGCTTATGTTCTCATTCTTCTCTTCCCGCGGGACCCGGGAAAGGTCTGGCACACTAGTGCCCAGGTCTGGCGAGGACGCGCGGAGTCTGTCCTTCCACTCACAGAGGAAGGGATGGAGAGAGGGTCCTTCAGAGACTCTTGAAGCCTGGATCTTCTGGGGGTTCTCCTGGGGTCAGCTCGAGTTGGGACAGCAGGTAGCCTTTTCTCCGGTCCTGCCTTACTTTCTATCTCAGCTATCCTTCAATTACCGGTGTAGGTCGGCCCTGACAGACTTCCTGACCATTGGTACCACCGAGATTGGGGGCCAGGCCTCTTTGGAATAAATAGCGTCGCGCTCACGCCCTGCAGTACAGATTCTCTTCACCTGCGAGTGAGTGGCGCCAGGAAGTGGAAGCCCTCCGCCCTCTGGGTTTGAACATGTTAGACCTGTCTTGGGTACCAGGGGAGCGCAGGTATGTATCTGGGTGGGTGGGATTCGGAGCTCTGGATCCTTCAGACTCTCCTCAGTACCTCTGTTGCCGACTCCATCCATTCTTTACGCTTCAGCGCGCGTTCAGCTGGGCCGAGACTTCCATATCTGTCTGGGTCTCGGAGATTTCAGGTCTCCCTGCATCCAGGCGCCTGATACGGAGCCTCGGAGATCCGGTCCTCTGTCCGACTGTGTTCTGGCAGGCACACCAGGCTGACTCTCCAGGCCTGGAGTATCGGTCCACCTCAGACCTACTCCTTTTGGTGCCGTCTCCCTCGCATCCAGCTGCTCACTAGCGGGTGGATTTTTAAGCTGTGGCTGGCGCGTTCTGGAACTTTGTTTCTTCCTGCTTTCCACCATCCCTCTCTCGGCTAGCGCACTATTCAGGGCGCCTGGGGGCTCTGG